ACCACCCCTACACAAAAGCCCATGTGCCAACAGCTGTGAAGTAGTGAGCTCAGGGTGCATAGACCCAGCACCTGTACAGTGTTCACTGCCAGCACTGAACACTCACAATTTTGCATAGGTATTAAGGACGAAAAGTGCTGTAGAAGTACCGTTTTGCTAATGCCTAGATGAGAATATCCTAATTTTGCAAGTGAGTAAATTCATGAGAAGTATACAGTACCTTTACTTGACCTTAGCCAATGAAATCATTTGTCAGTACATCTTGCGGGGAAGCCTTAAGTCTGAGACCATTGCAAACAGAGAGCTGATGAGTATTTCAGAACCAGATTATATATTAAAACCTCCTCTGACAGCATTGGTACTTCAGGCTATGTTTGAACAACAGTTACCGTGGTTTGCAGACTTCCAGTTGGTACTGCAATCATTTATCTTCCTCAGTTTTTACAGTCAAAGCTGATGCTTAACAATGCTAAGATATAAAGCTAAGTCTAGGACCATTTTAAACACACCCCCCCCACTCACCCACCCCCGCCGCCCAAAATGTGTGTGTTCTTAAATGGAACGTAGAGTTTACAGGCTTCATAGAACAGGTTTATGGGTATTAAAAATGCCTTTATAAATGTGGGGTAAATACCCTTGATAGATCAAAGAGAAAATAAATGGTTACTTGATCAGCTTTCATTTTAGTCATGAAATGTGATTTCCAGGGTAGTAGTTTTTAGTGGTATTTTCTTTTTTTTTTTTCTCCTGTTACCTTTTTTTTTTTTTTAAATGACATCAACTCTCCTTTGTAGCTTATATAAGTTGTAACCTAACTGTCCCTCAGGTAAGAGCTAGCTGGAGAGGCTGAATGTTTGAATTGGAGTGTTCACCTTGAGAGCAATCCTTGGGAGCTGACTGAATAAGTGAAGGGGATCCCATTAGTGGAGGAATTACTTATGTTCTCCCACTTTCTCTCAGGCATCTGCCTGGTGTTGTGCCTAGCTGGGCTTTGATGGGACATTGGTTTAGTAAATAGCTCTAAAAATCCTTCACATTTCATGGTTGTCTGTGTGTATGGTTTTTTTACATTATTAGTCTAGGGAACTAACTAGGCTACTGGTAGTAATATAGAATCATAGAATTGTTTAGGCTGGAAAAGACCTTTAGATCATCAAATCCAACTGTTAACCTAACTGGTTTAGTGATGGACTTGGTAGTGTTAAGGGTAGAGTAATAATTTCCTGGCTTGGTGGCTGGATTATTTTTATTGAAAGTAAAACTAGAATAGAATCATTAAGGTTGGAAAGGACCTCAAAGATCATCAGTCCAACCACCAACCGAACACCACCATGCCCACTAAACCATGTCCCAAAGTGCCACGTCTACACGTTTTTTGAACGCTTCCAGGGATGGGGACTCCACCACCTCTCTGGGCAGCCTGCTCCAATGCTTGACTACCCTTTCCATGAAGAAATTTTTCCTAATACCCAATCTATACCTTCCCTGATGCAACTTGAGCCCATTTCCTCTTGTCCTATAACTAAGTACTTGGGAGAAGAGCCCAACACCCACCTCGCTACAACCTCCTTTCAGGTAGTTGTAGAGCGTGATAAGGTCTCCCCTCAGCCTCCTCTTCTCCAGACTAAACAACCCCAGTTCCCTCAGCCACTCCTCATAAGACTTGTGCTCCAGACCCTTCACCAACTTCGTTGCCCTTCTCTGGACACGCTCCAGCAATTCATCATAGAATCATAGAATGCCTTGGGTTGGAAGGGACCTTTAGAGGTCATCTAGCCCAACCCCCCTGCAGTGAGCAGGGACAGCTAATTCAATGTCTTTGTTGTACTGAGGGGCCCAAAACTCGACACAGTATTCCAGGTGCAGCCTCGCCAGTGCCGAGTACAGGGGGACAATCACTTCCCTAGTCCTGCTGGCCACGCTATTCCTGATACAAGCCAGGATGCTGTTGGCCGCCTTGGCCACCTGGGCACACTGCTGGCTCATGTTCAGCCGGCTGTCTACCAACACCCCCAGGTCCTTTTCAGCCAGG